GCTGTAAATCTGGACTATAGTTTTAGCTGTAAATCTGGACTATAGTTTTAGCTGTAAATCTGGACTATAGTTTTAGCTGTAAATCTGAACTATAGTTTTAGCTGTAAATCTGGACTATAGTTTTAGCTGTAAATCTGGACTGGTTCTATCATCGCTCTGGCAATTAACTGGACAAGATCAGTATAACTGTATGAATGAATTCATTTTCAAAATTTAAGGGGGCCACACTCTGGATAAAAATTAAACTTGCCCTGCAGTTTGTTGATGCAGAACCACTTTCCACAAGTAATGATAGTCATACTCAGGATGTTTTACATAGAATCCCTCACATTTGTAGGTAAGTGAGGTGAAATGGGGTTTAACGTCATACTTAGGAATATTTCGCTCATATGACGATGTTCATGTGTGTGTATGTGCGGCTGCTTGTACTAGCCCAGACTTAAGCTGGTTTTATAGTGCTAGCTCACTGAGACACCATGCCGCAGTGAAGCATGAATACCCCACTCAGACCCATTATACTGACTCCGAGCCAACCAGTCCTTGTACCCATTAATGCCGGCGCCGGGCAGGGACCAACAAGTACCATATTTTAACGTCTTTTGGTATGACATGGCCGGGGATCAAACCTGTGACCTTCCGCTATCCAGGCGGATGCTCTAACCACTACACCATGGAGGAGGTTCCTTCATATTTGTAACAAACTGCAGCAACAACATCTCAAGTGATATTGTCAGCCTAAACAGCTGATAGGTGATCCCTGCAGTTGACATGCCTTTTCAAGGTACACAAGCACTAAGAGTGAAGCTTTGTCATTGATTTCAGCCAATGTGTACACAGTCGCTGCATACAATGTCATAGACTTTCTTTCTGAATCATGTTGCAACCACATACCTGTCTTAGTGTTCCTGCCGTTCCTAAGCGTCGCCATGGTCGCTGAAGATGTGCTATATGCATGGCATTGCGTGTATCGGTAACTGGAGGAGCACGGCATACCACTGTATGAAATACCACTGAGCAGGGATCGCAAACTACTGCATCCTCGATAATCTCCAGGGTATATGTTCCGATAAATATATTATTGTGTTGCCAAGTTTAATCGGTTAGATAATTTAAAAAGCAAAGTGAGTTGTGATTGGTACGCTCAACTTCCCAGCGTAGACACCTGATTGGATAAAAAGCCAGCAAAGGGAGGTAATAAAATCTTCGGCTCAAGCCGTAGATGCATCCAGGGTATAGTGGAGATTAATCGGAACGTATACCCAGGAGATTGTCGAGGATGAAACTACTGGTAGTAATCATGTTTTTCAAAATCATGCATACCGTCACCATGCTTGAAAACTTTACACAAGAGAAAACAATGGATAAGTCGAATTGAAACAACTGATTCCTGTCATAAGAAAAGGTGAAACTATTTGTAAACTGTTTCCTGTTTATAACATGTCTATTACTTAATCCCTTGTGATGGAGCGATATCCTACAACAAGTTGTCCAAAATGTGAATCTTTTTCATTCAGGTTCATAATCATGAAAAAATGAATGTGATATATTGCAGTATGTATGACAATGTATGCTAAGATAATTATTGCTATAAATTACAAAACAGAATTCAGGCTGATATCCATCACAGTTGTTTCACTAACAAAAGTTGTGATGGCTTGTGATATGACAAGACATATTTGGGGCCGTTTGGTATATGTGTATTTATATGTTGGTTGGTTTGTTGTTTAACAATATAGAACAAACTTTATGGATAACAACTTTTTTTTTTTTTTTTCTTTTTTTTCATGCTTGACAACGGTACAAGAATCTGTATTGAAACGTCGCACTCACGAATAAAAAGAAGTTGTTATCCATAAAGTTTGTTCTATATTGTACTTCCCAACTTCTAAAATGCCACAAGAAGTTGTTGTTTAACATTGCACTCAGCAATATTATTCCAGCTATATGACGGTGGTCTGTAAATAGTCGAGTCTGTACCAGACAATACAGTGATAAAAAGCATGAGCATTGATCTACCCAACTGGGATGTGATGATATGGCAACCAAGTCAGCGGGCCTGACCACCCGATCCCGTTAGTCGCCTCTTTCGACAAGCATGGGTTACTGAAGATCAAATTCTAACCCTGGTCTATGAGTAGTGAGACACTTGATACAGACATTCCATGTTGTTGCATTATCATTCATTTTGACCTTGATTGACCTGTGTGATTTGACCATACGGGGCTGAATGTTCTGATTACCTGTTTTGTTCAAACTGTACAGTCTGTTTGGGTCAAAACGATACCAATGAATCCCAATCCAACTCCAAATCGGCTCATGAACAAACATTCATGTCAATGCAGAATGTAATGAAAACATCAGACCAACTCTGGAAAAAAAAGTTTCATTATGTTTGTCTCCAAAATAAGAAAGTTACTTAACAAACTATAATCATTTTGTTGTGATATGTCACCTCGGACATCAAGTTCATTATGTTCCAAGTTTATGATTTTTTTAAAGGTGAAAGTGAAAGGGGTCGCCCTGGATAAATTTGTTAAATGCACTGATGTGCAGTTGGGTTGTCTGAAAGACAATTGAAAACCTTATTGAGACAAAGTGTAACCGAGTCAAACACAACTGAGGGGGTTCTATCAAAATTTCCTATTTTGAAAGTTGACAACCTTGACTGTTTTCAGAAAGAGTTAGTAAGAAAGGCTATTAGAAGACTCTGTAGCCCCAAAAAATTCCTTTCCTTACACATTTTGCTCTTCCTGCAACAGTTTGCTGTTACTTCACATGGAAAATCAAACAAAATGATGAAAGTTTGTCAAATATTTTTTTTATTTTGGAGACAACGTGATGAAACTTTTTTTTCCAGAGTTGGTCTGATGTTTTTATTACATTCTGCATTGACATGAATGTTTGTTCATGAGCCGATTTGGAGTTAGATTGTGATTCATTGGTATCGTTTTGACCCAAACAGACTATAAAACTTGGTGTCTGAGTAGTTCAGAATATGTATTCTGCTTTTGGTGATGTTTTAGATTTTGACCTTTTGCAATTTCACCACACATATTAACTTCTTGTATCCATTATTCAATGATTTTGTTTCAAAATGTCATGACATTTGGTAAGTGTGCAGTTGGTAGTGAGGCTCTACATATTTCTACAGCTTTTTGCGATGTTTTTAAGTTTGACCGTTACTTGATCTTTGCAGTTCGACCATGTTCTAGAATTCTCAGGAAACATTTCCACACACATCTCAGACATCGCAGGAACAATGAACCTGTTTTTGTGCTTTCATTTTTATTTTGCATTGGTTATTGAAAACTGCTTGCAAATGTGTTTGATTCCAATCTGGAGATTGTCTAGACTGCCAACTATAGTTAAACTAGACAGTCTGGCTTTCTGGCTTCAGTTTATCTTGTCTGACCATGTGGCTGACTTCTCTCAATATGCATTATTCTCTGAAATTAAAGGAGCAGAACTTTGGCATGCATTTTTATTGTTATGATGTTACTGTTTGTTGAGTTGATTAAGTTCTAGTGTAAGGTTTTAATATTTATATTTGAGAATCATTGCTGGCAGCAACATATTCAGGGGCTATCTCTGTTTGTTCACTGCTGACTTGACGAATGGATGTGAGCTGTTACCATGCTGCTGTTTTTCAGTATATTTTGGTACAGAAAACCAAAAGTCATGCAAATCCCCCTTTAAAATTCTTCTCGTGTTTTATTGTAAAATATTGGAAAATTCATCATCTGTCACTTAGAAATGTTTCAGCTATATATCTCGCATGTACAAACAGTTGATTTCTTTTCAAACCATGAACTGTGAACTGGCATACACTATGACATTACTCATGAGTCGTTTATAGCAGAAAAATCAACATTTTATTTCTCTAAGTTACCGAAATGAAGTCTGCACTCAAATATTGGCATTTTGGCGAAATTGTAAAATCTTACTGCTGGTAAATTGCTGAATTCAACAAACATGCAAACAGGCAAAACTTTTTTATTTATCTTATTAGACAACTTGGACATTCTTTTTCCATTGTCTTGCTTCTTGCTTGTATTCCCCCCAACAAGAATTAGTGTCATTCAACAGGAAGATGAATCACTTTCTTATTCATCCAGCTACAGTAATGAGATGTTCTGTTTAAAATATTCCTGGCATTGTACATGCGTTTCCAAACTATAGTTGATGCATAAGCTAGTGATATGTTATTCTGTGAAGGTATATAATATACTCAGGTTGTACTTCTTTCATGAGAATTAAAAGTAGCTATTCACTGTCCCGTGGCAGGTAATACTTCTGTTGGGTCATGTGACGTATAGTCCTAGCTGATCATGATGAATCAGTAGCAGAGCATCAATTCTCATAAAATCCCATTTGAAAGTGTTTTATCACAACTTCTACACTGACTTATACATATAAACATATTTCAAAATAATGAAGAAATGTACACACACTTTCATCATGCTGCACTGGCTTGTGTTTTCCAAACTGAAAGTAAGGTGGTATATACAAATAGATTGTTTAGTCTAGAAATCGTAAGGGACTCTCTCTCTCTCTTTTGCATATACAAACACGTTCGTGTACACATGAAAATCAGGGATATACCTCGAGTCTTGTATTTGAGGGTAAACTTGGACTCATACTCTTAATTTTTAGGGGTCCTGGGCAAAAAAATTGGGGTCCCAGACACTTAAATATTTTTATTAATACTGTTATTGTATTGTGTATCATGATCATCACTTAAATTGTTACAGCTGCCATACAGCGGGAATGGTGCTGAATGCGGCATAAAACTAAACTCACTCACTAAATTGTTACAGCAATCATGATACCATAACTTAGCTAGTAACAAACTCAGTGACTTTTTCTGCGTCCCTGTGGACACGCTAATAATTTTCGTTGCGTCCATTGTCAATTTTTATGAGTATAGGACGCAGAAATCCGCATCCCTTGAATCCCTGAAAATGTTTACTTTGGTGAAGTTTACCTGTAGCAGTGTTCAGTTTTCAGGTGTACTATAAGTCAAGATGGCTGACAGCACAGTGAAGGCAAAGAAGAGAGTGGTGCTTGCATACAGTGGAGGTCTAGACACATCCTGCATCCTGTCCTGGCTGATAGACGAGGGATATGAGGTCATCGCATACTTGGTGAGTAACAGACCATCTGGCTGATAGACGAGGGATAGGAGGTGATCACATACTTGGTGAGTACAAGACCATCTGGCTGATAGATGAGGGATATGAGGTCATCGCATACTTGGTGAGTAACAGACCATTTGGCTGATAGACGAGGGATACGAGGTCATTGCATACTTGGTGAGTAACAGACCATCTGATGGATAGAGGAGGGCTATAAATTTATTGCATACTTGGTGAGTAACAGACCATCTGATGGATAGGGGAGGGCTATAAATTCAATGCATACCTGGTGAGTAACAGACCGTTGTCATAATTGTCAATGTTTCAACCACTCACCACACTGTTATCACAATTGTCAACTGATGATGTTTCATCCACTCACCACACTGTTATCACAATTGTCAACTGATGATGTTTCATCCACTCACCACACTGTTATCACAATTGTCAACTGATGATGTTTCATCCACTCACCACACTGTTATCACAATTGTCAACTGATGATGTTTCAACCACTCACCACACTGTTATCACAATTGTCAACTGATGATGTTACAACCACTCACCACACTGTTATCACAATTGTCAACTGATGATGTTACAACCACTCACCACACTGTTATCACAATTGTCAACTGATGATGTTACAACCACTCACCACACTGTTATCACAATTGTCAACTGATGATGTTACAACCACTCACCACACTGTTATCACAATTGTCAACTGATGATGTAACAACCACTCACCACACTGTTATCACAATTGTCAACTGATGATGTTACAACCACTCACCACACTGTTATCACAATTGTCAACTGATGATGTTACAACCACTCACCACACTGTTATCACAATTGTCAACTGATGATGTTACAACCACTCACCACACACAATTGTTAACACAATTGTCAATTGTCAACTGATGATGTTACATCCACTCACCACACTGTTATCATTGTCACTGATTGTGAACTGATGATGTTACATCCACTCACCACACTGTTATCACAATTGTCAACTGATGATGTTACATCCACTCACCACACTGTTATCACAATTGTCAACTGATGATGTTACATCCACTCACCACACTGTTATCACAATTGTCAACTGATGATGTTGTCACTGTTATCACTGATGATGTTTCATCTGATGATGTTTCAACCACTCACCACACTGTTATCACAATTGTACAACCACTCACCACACTGTTATCACAATTGTCAACTGATGATGTTACAACCACTATGTTTCAACCACTCACCACACTGTTATCACAATTGTCAACTGATGATGTTACAACCACTCACCACACTGTTATCACAATTGTCAACTGATGATGTTACAACCACTCACCACACTGTTATCACAATTGTCAACTGATGATGTTACAACCACTCACCACACTGTTATCACAATTGTCAACTGATGATGTTACAACCACTCACCACACTGTTATCACAATTGTCAACTGATGATGTTACAACCACTCACCACACTGTTATCACAATTGTCAACTGATAATGTTTCAACCACTCACCACACTGTTATCACAATTGTCAACTGATGATGTTACAACCACTCACCACACTGTTATCACAATTGTCAACTGATGATGTTTCAACCACTCACCACACTGTTATCACAATTGTCAACTGATGATGTTTCATCCACTCACCACACTGTTATCTCACCACACTGTTATCACAATTGTCAACTGATGATGTTACATCCACTCACCACACTGTTATCACCATTGTCAACTGATAATGTTTCAACTACTCACCACAGTATTACCACACATATTTACTCTTCATGTCTTCTGTCCACAGGCCAACATAGGCCAGGATGAGGACTTTGAAGCCGTGAAAGCTAAAGCTGTCAAGTTTGGAGCTTCAAAGGTAAACACCTTTTTTCAGAATTAGTCCACTCACTGACAACAGTCAACATTTAATGTATTTGACCATGCCTTCTGTGCAGAAGATCCTCTAGAAACTACTGAAAGTTTGTCCACTCAGGAAATAATCTAACCACAGGCATCTTGGGTCATGCCTTGTATAGGGTCATGCCTTGTATAGGGTCATGCCTTGTATAGGGTCATGGTCATGCCTTGTATAGGGTCATGCCTTGTATAGGGTCATGGTCATGCCTTGTATAGGGTCATGGTCATGCCTTGTATAGGGTCATGCCTTGTGTAGGGTCATGCCTTGTATAGGGTCATGCCTTGTCATGCCTTGTATAGGGTCATGCCTTGTCATGCCTTGTATAGGGTCATGCCTTGTTGTATGAGTGTCAGGGTCATGCCTTGTATAGGGTCATGCCTTGTATAGGGTCATGCCTTGTAGAGTGTATAGGGTCATGCCTTGTATAGGGTCATGCCTTGTGTAGGGTCATGCCTTGTATAGGGTCATGCCTTGTGTAGGGTCATGCCTTGTATAGGGTGATGCCTTGTATAGGGTCATGCCTTGTATAGGGTCATGCCTTGTAGAGTGCATAGGGTCATGCCTTGTATAGGGTCATGCCTTGTATAGGGTCATGCCTTGTATAGGGTCATGCCTTGTATAGGGTCATGCCTTGTATAGGGTCATGCCTTGTATAGGGTCATGCCTGTAGGGTCATGCCTTGTAGGGTCATGCCTTGTATAGGGTCATGCCTTGTATAGGGTCATGCCTTGTATAGGGTCATGCCTTGTAGAGTGTATAGGGTCATGCCTTGTATAGGGTCATGCCTTGTATAGGGTCATGCCTTGTGTAGGGTCATGCCTTGTATAGGGTCATGCCTTGTAGGGTCATGCCTTGTATAGGGTCATGCCTTGTATAGGGTCAGGGTCATGCCTTGTGTAGGGTCATGCCTTGTATAGGGTCATGCCTTGTGTAGGGTCATGCCTTGTATAGGGTCATGCCTTGTATAGGGTCATGCCTTGTATAGGGTCATGCCTTGTAGAGTGTATAGGGTCATGCCTTGTATAGGGTCATGCCTTGTATAGGGTCATGCATAGGGTCATGCCTTGTGTAGGGTCATCATGCCTTGTATAGGGTCCTTGTGTAGGGTCATGCCTTGTATAGGGTCATGCCTTGTATAGGGTCATGCCTTGTATAGGGTCATGCCTTGTATAGGGTCATGCCTTGTAGAGGGTCATGCCTGTAGGGTCATGCCTTGTATAGGGTCATGCCTTGTATAGGGTCATGCCTTGTATAGGGTCATGCCTTGTCATAGGTATAGGGTCATGCCTTGTATAGGGTCATGCCTTGTAGGGTCATGCCTTGTATAGGGTCATGCCTTGTGTAGGGTAGGGTCATGCCTTGTGTAGGGTCATGCCTTGTATAGGGTCATGCCTTGTATAGGGTCATGCCTTGTATAGGGTCATGCCTTGTATAGGGTCATGCCTTGTAGGTAGTGCATAGGGTCATGCCTTGTAGAGTGTATAGGGTCATGCCTTGTATAGGGTATAGGGTCATGCCTTGTGTAGGGTATAGGGTCATGCCTTGTATAGGGTATAGGGTCATGCCTTGTATAGGGTCATGCCTTGTAGAGGGTCATGCCTTGTAGAGGGTCATGCCTTGTAGGGTCATGCCCTTGTATAGGGTCATGCCTTGTATAGGGTCATGCCTTGTAGAGTGTATAGGGTCATGCCTTGTGTAGGGTCATGCCTTGTAGAGGGTCATGCCTTGTGTAGCCTTGGTAGGGTCATGCCTTGTGTAGGGTCATGCCTTGTGTAGGGTCATGCCTTGTATAGGGTCAGCCTTGTATAGGGTCATGCCTTGTATAGGGTCATGCCTGTGTGTAGGGTCATGCCTTGTATAGGGTCATCATGCCTTGTATAGGGTCATGCCTTGTATAGGGTCATGCCTTGTATAGGGTCATGCCTTGTGTAGGTGTATAGGGTCATGCCTTGTATAGGGTCATGCCTTGTATAGGGTCATGCCTTGTATAGGGTCATGCCTTGTGTAGGGTCATGCCTTGTGTAGGGTCATGCCTTGTATAGGGTCATGCCTTGTATAGGGTCATGCCTTGTATAGGGTCATGCCTTGTATAGGGTCATGCCTTGTGTAGGGTCATGCCTTGTATAGGGTCATGCCTTGTATAGGGTCATGGCTTGCCCTGTGTAGGGTCATGCCTTGTATAGGGTCATGCCTTGTGTAGGGTCATGCCTTGTATAGGGTCATGCCTTGTATAGGGTCATGCCTTGTGTAGGGTCATGCCTTGTATAGGGTCATGCCTTGTATAGGGTCATGCCTTGTATAGGGTCATGCCTTGTGTAGGGTCATGCCTTGTGTAGGGTCATGCCTTGTGTAGGGTCATGCCTTGTGTAGGGTCATCATACCCTTGTATAGGGTCATGCCTTGTGTAGGGTCATGCCTTGTATAGGGTCATGCCTTGTAGGGTAGGGTCATGCCTTGTATAGGGTCATGCCTTGTGTCAGTATAGGGTCATGCCTTGTATAGGGTCATGCCTTGTGTAGGGTCATGCCTTGTATAGGGTCATGCCTTGTATAGGGTCATGCCTTGTATAGGGTCATGCCTTGTAATGCCTTGTGTAGGGTCATGCCTTGTGTAGGGTCATGCCTTGTATAGGGTCATGCCTTGTATAGGGTCATGCCTTGTATAGGGTCATGCCTTGTATAGGGTCATGCCTTGTATAGGGTCATGCCTTGTATAGGGTCATGCCTTGTAGGGTCATGCCTTGTAGGGTCATGCCTTGTGTAGGGTCATGCCTTGTATAGGGTCATGCCTTGCCTAGTCATGCCATGCATAGGGTCCTTGTGTATAGGTCATGCCTTGTATAGGGTCATGCCTTGTGTAGGTCATGTCATGCCTTGTGTAGGGTCATGCCTTGTATAGGGTCATGCCTTGTATAGGGTCATGCCTTGTATTGTGTAGGGTCATGCCTTGTGTAGGGTCATGCCTTGTGTAGGGTCATGCCTTGTATAGGGTCATGCCTTGTATAGGGTCATGCCTTGTATAGGGTCATGCCTTGTAGAGTGTATAGGGTCATGCCTTGTAGAGTGTATATTGTATAGGTCATGCCTTGTATAGGGTCATGCCTTGTGTAGGGTCATGCCTTGTGTAGGGTGCCTGTGCCTTGTGTAGGGTCAGGGTCATGCCTGTGTAGGGTCATGCCTTGTGTAGGGTCATGCCTTGTATAGGGTCATGCCTTGTGTAGGGTCATGCCTTGTGTAGGGTCATGCCTTGTATAGGGTCATGCCATGTGTAGGGTCATGCCTTGTGTAGGGTCATGTCTTGTGTAGGGTCATGCCTTGTGTAGGGTCATGCCTTGTGTATGGTTTCAAGTATAACACCATGTACGGTTGATTGCTTGCGTGGTTCACTCTATTGGTGTGTTTCAAAGTTCTGGGCTTAAATTATGTAATAATGTATTGTGTACACCTATACTAATGCTAAGCACGATGCTCTTCTTGTCATACAAGTATTGGGTACACCTGTACTAATATAAAACACGATGATCTTCTTGTCATACAGGGCGGTGGGGTACTTTAGTGGTTAAAGCATTCGCTCGTCACGCTGAAGACCTGGGTTTGATTCCCCACAATTGGGTACAATGTGTGAAGCCTATTTTCAGGTGTGATATTGCTAGATTATTGCTAGATTATTGCTAGATTATTGCTAAAAGTGTTGTAAAACTTCATTCACTCACTCTTGTCATAGAAGTATTTGTACACTCGTGATGTTAAACATGATGATCTTTTTGTCATTGAAGTACTGGGTACTTCAGCAGGATTCCCGGTGAGGTCAGTCTGTAGCCATGCTTTGTATGTACACAGCGTCTCCGACACGACAGTTCACCTCCATGTCATAACTCTGCAGCTGCTCCTGATACACTGTTCGGAGTTGTCAGTACAGGGTCATGTTGTGAATTTCCTGGTAATCATTATGTGCACATTGCTTGAGACTTGTCCAGCAGTCATATAATCACTTACTGTCAAACGTAAATTCTTTCATGACAATAACATGGTCAAATCACATTACTTGGATTAATGAAATCAGTGTCTATTTGCATTAAGTGGATGCTGCTGTCAATTGGCTTGGCTTTATTATGTGAGTTTCATAGGAAGGAGGGTGTTTGTGTGGCCAGAAGGCCCAGCAAATCCCTCATCTCGCAGGGGATCAATACACAAGCTAATTTCATTTCATAGTGGGTGACTGTGACTGAAATAGACTTCCAGCCGTGTACAGCAGCTGATGTTGGTATTACTGGGGCAATTATTTGCCCGTGACATAGCACTGGCAGCCTTCATGTCTTGTGAATTTCTGTTCAAGGTGAAACTCAGGGCTCAGTCATAGAGTCCCTTACAATTATCTTTCATGCTAGTGAATATCTAGAAGGTTGTAAACATGTCAATAGTTGGTAATGAATTTTTAAGCGGGCTGTTGGGCATTGACATAAATATATGTTCATATAACAGTCCACTGATCAAGTGGCAGTTGATGGCTGAGCCGGATTTTGACACAGAATCTACTTCTCCAAGTCTGTCAGCTCATCAGAGAAGTCACATATTGACCGGGACACTCAAACAGGAGACAATAATAAAGAAAGTGTCTTCTGCTAGATAACTTGACATTCTCTTGATGTGTTATCACTGGATTCATTGTAGAAGACCCTGCTTTCTCTATATATACTTCACAGAGCTAACCATGCAACCTGGGTCGGGCAGAATAAAAATAGAAGCAAATAAGTGTAGCTGATGTTAATTAGCATGAACAAATTTAAGGGCATCAGTTTGATTTGAAAAAGAAATACATGTTTCTACTGTAACAGGACGTTGAATATTTTGACTGCATGATGTTTATGTATTTATTCCCGTAACAACTTCATGTGGCTTGTGAAAGGTTTGTGGCCAGTAGCTACAGGTGTTTGTATGATGTTTTATCTTTGTGTCATTTCTCAAAGTCATCCATGGTGTGGTGCTAGGCAAATAAGAATAAATTTTGAATTATTTGGTTTGATTCTCAAGCCTTTTTGGGTTTCAGCAGTTAAATCTTTGAGCATTAGCATCAGATAGCAGTGTCCCATTTATGTGTCGACCAGATACGTGTCTTCTATTAGATACATGAGCTAAGCTGTGTCCCATTTATGTGTCGACCAGATAGGTGTCTTCTATTAGATACATGAGCTAGCTGTGTCCCATTTATGTGTCGACCAGATACATCAGCTAGCAGTGTCCCATGTATGTGTTGACCAGATACATCAGCTAGCAGTGTCCCATTTATGTGTTGACCAGATACATCAGCTAGCAGTGTCCCATGTATGTGTCGACCAGATACATCAGCTAGCAGTGTCCCATTTATGTGTCGACCAGATAGGTGTCTTCTATTAGATACATGAGCTAGCTGTGTCCCATTTATGTGTTGACCAGATAGGTGTCTTCTATTAGATACATGAGCTAGCTGTGTCCCATTTATGTGTCGACCAGATACATCAACTAGCAGTGTCCCATGTATGTGTTGACCAGATACATCAGCTAGCAGTGTCCCATGTATGTGTCGACCAGATACATCAGCTAGCAGTGTCCCATGTATGTGTTGACCAGATACATCAGCTAGCAGTGTCCCATGTATGTGTTGACCAGATACATCAGCTTGCAGTGTCCCATTTATGTGTCGATTAGATACATCAGCTAGCAGTGTCCCATGTATGTGTTGACCAGATACATCAGCTAGCAGTGTCCCATTTAGCTAGCAGTGTCCCATGTATCGTTGACCAGATACATCAGATAGGTGTCTTCTATTAGATACATGAGCTAGCTGTGTCCCATTTATGTGTTGACCAGATAGGTGTCTTCTATTAGATACATGAGCTAGCTGTGTCCCATTTATGTGTCGACCAGATACATCAACTAGAAGTGTCCCATGTATGTGTTGACCAGATACATCAGCTAGCAGTGTCCCATGTATGTGTCGACCAGATACATCAGCTAGCAGTGTCCCATGTATGTGTTGACCAGATACATCAGCTAGCAGTGTCCCATTTATGTGTTGACCAGATACATCAGCTTGCAGTGTCCCATTTATGTGTCGATTAGATACATCAGCTAGCAGTGTCCCATGTATGTGTCGACCAGATAAATGAGATGCTTGATTGGCATTTTAGAAGATGCTATTTGATGAACATAGAGATTTTTTCTGGGTTACATCTTCTTTTCATTCTTGAGTACAACGTTTCAGGATTTGTTCTGGCCCCATCAGCAGGTAAAAAGAGTTACTGTTCAGTTTTCACCTGATGATAGGGCCAGAACAAGCCCTGAAACGTTGTACTCAAGAATGAAAAGAAGATGTTTCGACCAGATACATCATCTAGCTAACACCCCTAATGATGCCGAAAATTTGCTTACATCCCAGGAAAATACATGGCTCATAAATATATTTCATTATTTTCCCCACAAACACACTTGTTAATACATCATCAAAAACAGCATATCAATAAATTGGTACTGAATGACAAAATTCTGCCTTACCTGCAAATTTTGTTATTAGATCCACAGACTATAAGTCTCATGTTTCTGTGGCAGACTGCATAACTCACCGTTGATTTTCCACGATGATGATCAGATTACCGCTGTTGCCTTGAAATGGACCTTCGTTGCCAGAGAATGGATGCTTATATCAATTCATAAATGTCATGCTTTGACAAGTTTGTGTTTTCCAGACAACCTAGGTGTTTGTCATTTCATGAAATTGGTTTTACACAGGAGCTTATTTAGATTCTAAACATATACTGCAGCAAGTGATGTCCCATGTATGTAGAAAGCCAAGTGTCTTTTCTTCAAATTTTCAAGAGAAATAGCTACTTTAGCGAGGAGGAAAGTATGGCCACAGCTATGGGATCATGGGGAAAAGAAATGGTCACTGGCTGATGCAGCTGTTTTGTGTTTGTTGCTTTGTAAAGCAACTATCTAGAAGTTACGTTGAAACAATTAAAAGATCGTAGTTATGGAAATACATTTTGCATTCATTGTAATAATAAAACTTTGTAATAAGGGATCATTGTGTGTGTTGGGGTGTGTGATGATGTTTTTAAGGGGGGTTGCCTATTTTGTTCTGGGGAGGTAGGAGGTCATCAATTTTGTACATGAAATGCAGGGGGGTCACTTACTTCGTACATAAATTTTATGGGGTGGGGGGTGGGGTCATTCACATTGCTTCTCCATAAAAATCATCATCACCTCCCCCTGGCCATAAATCATGAATGGTCTCTAAAGCAGTTGTTCATCTATTTATATTGACATTCTTAAATACTGCTCTTCTTCTGAATACCTTTCAATGAACTTACAAAGGACCATACAAACTGATCCTACAAGCTGGGTTTGATCTTGTGAGAAAAGCCTCTCATATTCTACTCACAAAACTTGCAGGATGAACTTGTCAGTTCGCTCCAATGTTTTTTGGACCTGAGACTTTCATAAAACAGTATTGGAGTTGAGAATCTTCAGAGTAGGCACAGTATGTGAAATATGAATTAAATGAGTTCTCATTTTAATATTACAAGAAAACAGGTTGATACTCACCCCTTTAATCACACCTCTGGTCATCCACCACCGATGATTATTCAAGTCGAGTTTGTTTGTCCTAATTTTCAATAAACAACTGTTTAATTGACAGTATTTTAACTAAACCCACCATCACTAGACAATACAATAAACACAAACCATTTGTTTGTATGGAGTGGCCCCATATTAATTATTTTGCAGTAAACAATGTTTTGACATGGTGGGCATCAATCTACATCTGGCAGTATCTACAGAGAATGACCTCCGCTGTGTTTCACGTCACTGCAGAATGCAGCTTTACCCAATATGGTCAGAGCTCCAGATAAGATTTAGCTCATGTGGGTACTGTACCCACTGTATTTTTTGGAGTGGGTATTATGAATGTTGAGTGAGTATTTCATTTTCCGTTACCCACTGCTTTCAAATATGTGCGTATTTCAGTCATTTTACTCACCTAAGTATTCTGTCATTGAGTAAGTTTACTAAGCAGGTATGTTCTGCCTTATGTCATACCTAATCAAAACCAACTTAAATATAATGGAAATGATTTCATAAAAAATCCCTCATCCTATACTGACAGTACAACACTAGTCCTATACTAACAGTACAACTTGATAGCAATCCATGTCTTTTTCATTACGCAAGTGATTTTTATAAATATATTCTGTATGCATTTGTTTTAAACTCTTTGCGTATCTAACATTTTAAATGCGTAATTGGTACGCAACAATTATTTTTCAATGTGTAATTGGAAAGTTTCTATGCGTATTTTACCCGGATACACAGCTTATCTGGGCCTCTGATGGTTACATAGGCTGGGTGGTTCTAGCATTGTAAGAGTGAGAAATGACAGAAATGAGTATATTTAATCTGTTTTGTTTGTCTGTCAAATCCAATAGTTATCTGACTGACCTGGTTGTCTGCTGTTGCAGTAATCTTCATAAAGCCATTTGAAAATTTATGGCTAGAGGGTCACATGATGATTTTTAAGGGGGGTCACCCCTTTTGTTCTGGGGAGGTAGTTGGGTCATCAGTTTTGTACACATGTACTTAGGGTGGCATCAGCAAGTTTGTACATAAAAATATTTTAAAATTGTGCTTAAAAGAGAGGGGGGTGGGTGGTTAATGGATTTTGTACATGACATGCAGGGGGGTCACTTACTTTGTGCTTAAATTTAAGGGGGGTCGTTCACATACATGCTTCTCCATAAAAATCATCATCAACCCCAGTAGCCATAAATTATGAACGGTCCCTAAGAACAGAAATGTGACTGGACATTGGATTTAACAACTCATGTTTACACTGGGCTGCAGCCTGGTGATGAATGAACAAGACAAATAGGCTTAGACCAGCAGTGGTGGAAATTAGGCTTTGCTACTGGGAGTGGACACTCCAGCCTCGGGAACATGTGAAAGTATATCTATGAGGCTCTTCCTGAACAGTATTGATGGAGTAGTGAAGTTCTATTTCTGGTTCTGGAGTAAATTCAAATGAGAATGATTGGAAGGTTTTTACTAGTGTTCACCTTAATCTTATTGGCAATAACCCATCAGTAAAAGCCCGACCTACTGATGAGAAATGTTTATGGGCCCGGATGTACAACAGAGATGCTGGAAAAATTATGGTTGATGAGGAAGCATCCTTTGGTCAGGTATTTGTCCCACAGTTCCACTGTATGTGGCTTGAAGAAAGTCAGAACCAGATTTTACTAGACAATAAATTAGTATAGTCCGTTTGATTTCGTTTGAGACCAATGAATTGCTCACTACCACAAAATCTAATGAATGCAACAAAATCAAACTTTCCATAGTCACATGAAATCGACAGACCAACTCTGATTTGTCTCATAATGTGGGACACCTGAATAAAAAAGTTATTTAACAAACGATCATTATCTATTAGTCCCTTTTCGCTATGTCTTATGAGGGTGGACCACTTGCTGGTAGAACAGCCAGGTGCGTAAGTTGTACGTGTGAAATTGAAATTTCACTGCACATGCTTGTTGATTACCTGGCTGTTCTACCAGAAAGAAACCCCTCATAAGAAATGGCGAAAAGTGACAACAAAATAATGATTGTTTGTCCTAGGCCAAAGTTTCACCGTGAAAGGTTTGGCCAAGGGGAAAGTTTCGCCTGTTACACCTGATGTTCATGGGTCCCATGAAGAATAAACAATCATGTCATGGTAGAAAGACATTGTAAAATCCATTGTGTGGTAGTGCAGGGATGCGTTGTTGTGTTTGAGTGGAAATGTCCCTGATTTCGTGTTGTAATGGTAGCTGTCATTATCAACATATATTGCTATACTTTCAGATGATATGTCCTGATCTGCAAAAAGAGTTTGTTGAGGAGTTTATCTGGCCGGCTGTAAGAGCTAATGCTCTCTATGAGGACCGCTACCTCTTGGGTACTTCTTTAGCTCGGCCACTTATAGCCCGGTAAGTTAAACCACACACCAGCTGGTCTTTCTTCAGCTCGGCCACTTGTAGCCCGTAAGTTAAACCACACACCTGCTGGTCCTTCTTTAGCTCGGCCACTTATAGCCCTGATCAACCACACACCTGTTGGTCCTTTAGTTCAGCCACTTATAGCCCGGTAAGTTAAACCACACAGCTGCTGGTCCTTCTTCAGCTCGGCCACTTATAGCCCAGATCAACCACACACCTGTTGGTCCTTTAGTTCGGACACTTATAGCCCGGTAAGTTAAACTACACACCTGCTGGTCCTTCTTTAGTTCGGCCACTAAAAGCCTGGTAAGTTTAACCACACACCTGCTGATCCTTCTTTACTTCGGCCACTTATAGCTTGGTAAGTTACACCACACACCTGCTGGTCAGATAGCCAAGAGATTTTACACCCATCAGCTGGGTACTGTACATGTTGTACACTTGAATTAGCTTGTCACATAGTTGACATATATTTTTGTACACAGGAGTAATCTCTGTCATCATACTCTATGAGCTGTCTGCCACCCATGTATATCCTATCTCTCTATCACACACTGCAGTGCTATGGTGAAGATTGCCATAGAAGAGGGGGCCCAGTATGTAGCCCACGGAGCCACTGGTAAAGGAAATGACCAGATCAGATTTGAGCTGGGAGCCTATGCACTTCACCCAAGCATAGAGGTATGTTCCCCTGACATCTAATATGTATGTCTTCTGCAAGTCAAAGAATGAACAGTTTCATTCATGTTTTCTCACTCTAGAATATGTTAAATGCAGTAAGTTTATCTAATGTAGAGGATATTTTTCATTCTAATTTAATAAGAGTTTAGTTGCCACAACTGTCTCAAGACGATCTGAGGACGTTCCATTACAGGTCACATCAGAATGATCTCTGATTGCTCAAAGTGTTGCTAAAGAGGTCATGAAAGTGAGGTCTGAATGTGTTTTCTAATCATCCAACCACAAAAACTCGAGTTCTTTTGAACAAGTCAGTTACTGACCATAATGAGATGCACAGTTTAAAGGAGGCTATTTTTAAACTTATCTGTTCTGATGTCACCTGTAATGTCCTCGGAATGTTTTGTGTAGGAGAGATTGAATATTTAAATATAATGACTTTCTTGTTCTCAGGTGATATCGCCATGGCGACTGCCTGAGTTTTACAACAGGTTCACTGGAAGGACTGACCTGTTTGACTATGCGAAGGTAATTTTGCCGCTTGGACAGGGATCTCTCACAGACATCTATAAGCAGTTTGTCTTGATTGTTCAGAATTGAATCAACATTAATCCTGCTATTTCCCATGGTATGTTTGTGTCGCATGATAAATAGGGATTAGTTGCATTGACCTGTTGTCCTCTGGAAACCAATCCAAATTTACCACCATCCTGTTTGTGTATTTGTTTCAGCAAAAAGGCATCCCACTACCTGTGACCAAGAAGAGCCCCTGGAGTATGGATGCCAACATGATGCACATAAGGTGATGGCACCAGGGGTAGAACTGGGGACGTGGGTTGGGCTCTGGGTGCTTCAGTGTGCTTCAACTGAGGCCATAGAGTTGGGGTATAGATGCTGGGTGGGGTAAGGAAGGACGAAGATATATATGCTGGGTGGGGTAAGGAAGGATGGGGGTGTAGATGCTCTGTGGGGTAAGGAAGGACAGGGATATAGATGTTGGGTGGGGTAAGGAAGGATGGGGGGTATAGATGCTGGGTGGGGTAAGGAAGGATGGGGGTGTAGATGCTGGGTGGGGTAAGGAAGGACGGAGATGTAGATGCTGGGTGGGGTAAGGAAGGATGGGGGTGTAGATGCTAGGTGGGGTAAGGAAGGACGGGGATATAGATGCTGGTTTGGGTAAGGAAGGATGGGGATGTAGATGCTGGGTGGGGTAAGGAAGGACTGCAATATAGATGATTGGGTGGGGTAAGGTAAGGAAGGATGGGGATATAGATGCTGGGTGGGGTAAGGAAGGATGGGGGTGTAGATGAAGGATGGGGGTTAGATGCTAGGTGGGGTGGGAAGGAAGGAAGGATGCTGGGGTGGGTGAAGGAAGGATAGGGGGAAGGCTAGGTGGGGGATATAGAAGTTGGTGAGGAAGGGGATATAGATAAGGGTGGGGTAGGGAGGGCCGGGATATAGGGATATAGATGTTGGGTGGGGTGGGTGGGAAGGAAGGACAGGGATATAGATGATGGGGTATATAGATGCTGGGTGGGGTAAGGAAGGACAGGGATATAGATGCTGGGTGGGGTAAGGAAGGACAGGGATGTAGATGCTGGGTGGGGTAAGGAAGGACAGGGATGTAGATGCTGGGTGGGGTAAGGAAGGATGAAGTATAGATGCTGGGTGGGGTAAGGAAGGACATGGGGATGTAGATGCTGGGTGGGGTAAGGAAGGACAGGGATGTAGATGCTGGGTGGGGTAAGGAAAGGACAGGGATGTAGATGCTGGGTGGGGGTAAGGAAGGACAGGGATGTAGATGCTGGGTGGGGTAAGGAAGGACAGGGATGTAGATGCTGGGTGGGGTAAGGAAGGACAGGGATGTAGATGCTGGGTGGGGTAAGGAAGGACAGGGATGTAGATGCTGGGTGGGGTAAGGAAGGACAGGGATGTAGATGCTGGGTGGGGTAAGTGTATCCAATGACGTAAATATTAATCAGCATAAGTATATGCAAGGACATAGATACTTGTGGTTTAAGCATGTCCTAGGGCTGAATAAAGTATTATCATCATTGTCATTGTCATTGTCAGATAATGACTTACGTAAGTTTGTCCAAAGACGTAGATATTTATCAGTGTAAGTATGTCCATTGGACGTAGATACTGGGTGGCGTAAGTATGTCGAACGACGTAGATACTGGGTGGCGCAAGTATGTCCAGCGACGTAGAAACAGTGTTGTGTAAATATGTCCAACGATGTAGATCCTGGGAGAAGGGGAAGACAAGGAGATATCACTGGGTTTGGAACTCTGCTGAACACTGCTATGAGAGTGAGAGCACCTGCTGAATGTGTGTTCTTTGTTACAGCTACGAGTCGGGTGTCCTGGAGGATCCTAACCATCATGCACCTGACGATCTCTTCCAAATGTCGGTACTTCCTGAGAAAGCACCAGACAAGGCAGAACGTCTTGAAATCAACTTTAAAGCAGGTATGCATGATGTGCTGTGTAAAGATACTGGAGTATTTCCTATTATAATGTATTACTTTCATATATGTGGTCCACTGGATTATCGTTATGTGGAGAGTGTATGGACTGTTAGTTTTTTGTTGTCTGTGTAGTGTGTGGAAGTGTGGACGCTGGGGCGTCTGTACCGTGTTTACATAACAGTAGATGCTATAATGGTTCTATGCTAAACGTATTTGTCTGGTGTGCTGGTGAGAGTGAAGGTTCTATGCTAAACGTATTTGTCTGGTGTGCTGGTGAGAGTGAAGGTTCTATGCTAAATGTATTTGTCAGGTGTGCCAGTGAGAGTGAAGGTTCTATGCTAAACATATTTGTCAGGTGTGCCAGTGAGAGTGAAGGTTCTATGCTAAATATATTTGTCAGGTGTGCCAGTGAGAGTGAAGGTTCTATGCTAAACGTATTTGTCAGGTGTGCCAGTGAGTGAAGGTTCTATATGAAGCGTATTTTCTATGCTGCGTGCTAAATGTATTTGTCAGGTGTACCAGTGAGAGTGAAGGTTCTATGCTAAACGTATTTGTCAGGTGTGCCAGTGAGAGTGAAGGTTCTATGCTAAATGTATTTGTCAGGTGTGCCAGTGAGAGTGAAGGTTCTATGCTAAACTTATTTGTCAGGTGTGCCAGTGAGAGTGAAGGTTCTATGCTAAATGTATTTGTCAGGTGTGCCAGTGAGAGTGAAGGTTCTATGCTAAACGTATTTGTCAGGTGTGCCAGTGAGAGTGAAGGTTCTATGCTAAATATATTTGTCAGGTGTGCCAGTGAGAGTGAAGGTTCTATGCTAAACGTATTTGTCAGTGAGTGTGTATGCCAGTGAGAGAGTGAAGGTTCTATGCTAAATGTATTTGTCAGAGTGAAGGGTGTGCCAGTGAGAGTGAAGGTTCTATGCTAAACGTATTTGTCAGGTGTGCCAGTGAGAGTGAAGGTTCTATGCTAAATGATATTTGTCAGGTGTGCCAGTGAGAGTGAAGGTTCTATGCTAAACGTATTTGTCAGGTGTGCCAGTGAGAGTGAAGGTTCTATGCTAAACGTATTTGTCAGGTGTGCCAGTGAGAGTGAAGGTTCTATGCTAAACGTATTTGTCAGGTGTGCCAGTGAGAGTGAAGGTTCTATGCTAAATGTATTTGTCAGGTGTACCAGTGAGAGTGAAGGTTCTATGCTAAATGTATTTGTCAGGTGTGCCAGTGAGAGTGAAGGTTCTATGCTAAACGTATTTGTCAGGTGTGCCGGTGAGTGAAGGTTTATGCTAAATGTATTTGTCAGGTGTACCAGTGAGAGTGAAGGTTCTATGCTAAACGTATTTGTCAGGTGTGCCAGTGAGAGTGAAGGTTCTATGCTAAACGTATTTGTCAGGTGTGACAGTGAGAGTGAAGGTTCTATGCTAAATGTATTTGTCAGGTGTGCCGGTGTGAGTGAAGGTTCTATGCTGAGTGAGTGAAGGTTCTATGCTAAAGCGTATTTGTCAGGTGTGCCAGTGAGAGTGAAGGTTCTATGCTAAACGTATTTGTCAGGTGTGCCAGTGAGAGTGAAGGTTCTATGCTAAATGAATTTGTCAGGTGTACCAGTGAGAGTGAAGGTTCTATGCTAAACGTATTTGTCAGGTGTGCCAGTGAGAGTGAAGGTTCTATGCTAAGCGTATTTGAGGTGTGCCGGTGAGTGGTTCTATGCTAAAGCGTATTTGTCAGGTGTGCCAGTGAGAGTGAAGGTTCTATGCTAAATGTATTTGTCAGGTGTACCAGTGAGAGTGAAGGTTCTATGCTAAACGTATTTGTCAGGTGTGCCAGTGAGAGTGAAGGTTCTATGCTAAACGTATTTGTCAGGTGTGCCGTTGAGAGTGAAGGTTTATGCTAAATGTATTTGTCAGGTGTACCAGTGAGAGTGAAGGTTCTATGCTAAACGTATTTGTCAGGTGTGCCAGTGAGAGTGAAGGTTCTATGCTAAACGTATTTGTCAGGTGTGCCGGTGAGAGTGAAGGTTTATGCTAAATGTATTTGTCAGGTGTGCGGGTGAAGGTTCTATGCTAAATGTATTTGTCAGGAGTGCCAGTGAAGAAGGTTCTATGCTAAATGTATTTGTCAGGTGTGCCAGTGAGAGTGAAGGTTCTATGCTAAATGTATTTGTCAGGTGTGCCGTTGAGAGTGAAGGTTCTATGCTAAATGTATTTGTCAGGTGTGCCGGTGAGAGTGAAGGTTCTATGCTAAATGTATTTGTCAGGTGTGCCGGTGAGAGTGAAGAACTTGGAAGATGGGACAGAGAAGAACACACCCTTTGATCTCTTCATGTACCTCAACAAGCTCGGGTAGGTTCACTTAAACCTACGGGTCACCTCAAGTAGGTTCAGCTGTTTGATGGAATCACCTATGGTAGTTCACTTTGTTGATACAACCACCTTGGTAGGTACACTTTGTTGATACAACCACCTTGGTAGGTTCACTTTGTTGATACAACCACGTTGGTAGGTTCACTTTGTTGATACAACCACTTTGGTAGGTACACTTTGTTGATACAACCACTTTGGTAGGTACACTTTGTTGATACAACCACTTTGGTAGGTTCACTTTGTTGATACAACCACTTTGGTAGGTACACTTTGTTGATACAACCACTTTGGTAGGTACACTTTGTTGATACAACCACTTTGGTAGGTACACTTTGTTGATACAACCACTTTGGTAGGTACACTTTGTTGATACAAGGTTCACCACTTTGGTAGGTACACACTTTGTTGATACAACCACTTTGGTAGGTTCACTTTGTTGATACAACCACTTTGGTAGGTACACTTTGTTGATACAACCACTTTGGTAGGTACACTTTTTGTTGATGATACAACCACTTTGGTAGGTACACTTTGTTGATACAACCACTTTGGTAGGTTCACTTTGTTGATACAACCACTTTGGTAGGTACACTTTGTTGATACAACCACTTTGGTAGGTTCACTTTGTTGATACAACCACTTTGGTAGGTTCACTTTGTTGATACAACCACTTTGGTAGGTACACTTTGTTGATACAACCACTTTGGTAGGTTCACTTTGTTGATACAACCACTTTGGTAGGTTCACTCTGTTGATACAACCACTTTGGTAGGTTCACTCTGTTGATACAACCACTTTGGTAGGTACACTTTGTTGATGCGACTATCACCGATAGGTTCACTATGTTCATGGTGTCGTGCCGGGAAGGCTAAAATATATGTTAATGATGTCCCGGGAGAGCTAATTTTACAGGAGTATGGGAGTACCGCCCAGGCTAAAGATACCGCGAATAATTACCTGGAAGCATAATCCATGTTGGGAGTAGGGTAATTTTTCTTTTCAAAACATTGTTATAGTAGCGTGTACAGATTATTTTTTTAGTTATTTATCTTCAATGTATCCGGAGATAACCTTGGGATAATCTTTTTTCCAATGCATCGCTTGTTTAGAACTTTATTTAAGTGGCGTGAGAAGGTATATTTAATTAGAAGAGAACAAGAGCATCTATTTTCGTTGCATGAGAAGATGCCAAGGGCTTACATTTTAAACAAAACCGAGGAGGAGGTTTTGATCCAACCTATGAACTGACCGAAGATATACTTTAGATATAGTTTTAATATTTGGTATTTACTGTTGAAATCAACTGGGATATGACTGGCAGCCTATACCTTGCTTTGCACATGCAATGCATGTGCTCTACATGTGCTAACCGTATCCTGCATGTGTGCTGCTCGCACAACCTCTCTTGTGAGGAACACATTGTTCATACTGACAAGCAATCTCATTCTTCACAGCGATCATTCATAACCTAGTGGATAAAACCACCAAGCTAGTGAGCGAAGGGTTGCAGGTCCGAAACCAGATGTTGTAACAATATATTGGATGCTTTCAATAATGTGATGTTTTATGATCTTATTCAGTAATAGCAAGACAAAGTTTAATCAATCTTCAAAACAAGTAAAATAATTCAAAGTCAAGGGCTATTCCTCAGAAAATCCCTGGGATGGGGGCAATTCTGTAGAAAATCCCTGGGATGCGGGCAATTCTGTAGCAAATCCCTGAGATTTCTTGGACAATGCCCGCCTGTAGAGCTTTACTTGGTAAAAGGAGAACCTGGCGAGACAATAGAGTGACATCACTGGAGGTTTATAATGGAAGTGTACAGAGGTTGAGTGTTCTGCCCGTATCGTGACAAGTGGAGACAGGCTTCATACAGCGGAGCACACCCTCAATCATCCGGATCTGAACTCCCTATTCGAAGGGGATACTTTAAAGTTAATCCATCGCACCAAGACTGAGGTGACACCTATCTCACAGATCTACAACAACGAGATCCCAACCTGAGGAAGCAACACAATGTAGTCCCGACAGCCTACGTTGGGACACGTTTCCTCTTGTATTCTGCTTGCTGCCGAACTGGACGGAAGGAACGTACAGGAACATAGACTCCTAACTCTGAGCCCTGAAGGACGACTTTGTGAACAACATCATCCGGGACATCACCTATACAGACGACGTGTCCGAACTGCTCAAACTTTCCTAAACTCGAAGTACATTAACAGTATTCTGTTATTTAATGCTGAGTTAAAGAAAATGTACATGAAGAAATAGACCTGGAAATGTCTTAATACTTATTTATATTTATAAATGTGCCAATATTAAAGAGTGTTCATGTTAATCCTGCTTTCCTGGTAATTTGGATGAACCTCAGAGTATGGCGGGCTATGTTTATTCAGCCATAACATTGCATTGCAAGTACCGCTAAGGCTATGCTCATTCAACCGAGAAACGTCGCTAATTTAGCATGAACCATGTTGATACAACCACATTGTGACCCTGAGTGTTGAATGCTGCGTTATGTGTCCACGTACTGTTTGTTGCATGACATTAAAGGCAAGAAGTGAGATCTGCTTGAGAATGTTAATTTCATCAGGAAGTGAATGACCAATCTTTTGAAATTGTTTCATTGTGTAGATCTAGTTATTGACCTAAAATACATCGGGTTTCCCAAGTTAAGTTCTGTTATTTCCACAACCTTAGTTAAAACTGCTATCTTCAAAAAAGATTTCAGATTCAAAAAGCTTATCAAGATTTATTGCACATATCTTTGAATTACTTGGAAATACCGGTAGTTCATTTTACATGGAAAGTGCTATTGACAGATGTATTTTTGTATCCCCCGCCGCACGTTTAGCGCGAAGCGGGGGATCTACTATTAGGCTCCGTCTGTCCATCCGTCCGTCCGTACGGACGTAAGTACGAATTGGAATATCTAAAGAACCGCTGACTAGATTCTTTTCTTTTTTTGTACCTAGGTTCATCACAGTATAAGAAAGGTTTCAGTCAGGTTAGGTGACCTTGACCTTCATTTCAAGGTCACAAGGGGACTTTAACGTTTTACCCTTTTCAGCAAGATATCTCAAGAACCGTTCACTGGAATTTCTTCATATTCCACACCAAGCTTTATCTAGGGAAGGCACAGGGCCCAGTAGATTTTGGTGACCTTCACTCAATTGTCAAGGTCATGGCGACACTTTGAAGATTTCAGCATGTGAAGCTTCATGTTCAGCTTGTCAGCGAGATACCTCAAGGACTGTTCACTGGATTTTCTTCATTTTCAACACCAAGCTTTATCTAGGGAAGGCACAGGGCCCAGTCAATTTTGGTAACCTTCACATAATTTTCAAGGTCACGGCAATACTTTGAAGATTTCAGCATATTAAACTGCATGTTAAGATTGTGAGCAAGATATCTCAAACACGGTTCACTGTATTTTCTTCATAGACTTTCAAGACTTCCCTTGAATGTTTTTCAATAAGCAATTTCTTTATTACTATTTTTGCATATTTCATACTCCATGAAATTCATGTCAAGGTCAAAGTGAGTCTTGAAAATATTTGTGCGTTGAACAACTACAGAGCAAGATATCAAGAGAGGTTGACTGGTCATGTTTTTGTTGACACTTAACTTCATCTTAAACTACGACCTTCACTTTCATTACTTTTTAAGTTTGATTTGATAATTTGTGGCGGGGGGATTATGTCACCTTAGTGACAATGCTTGTTTTCTATGACATTGGCTATATACTTTTGAACAACGACCTTTGGTTTGATTTCTGTTCACATATGTGTGCAGAAAATATATTTCAAAGATACTTTTATCATTTTATAGCAGCTATGAATAGATACATGTGTTAACATTTTAATACCATGTAGATACCATATTTCGATGAATAGAGTGGTTTCCTTCTAAAATTCATTGTAACATTCAGGCAGATTCCTCACATACTGATTGTTCTTCAAGATTTATATAACATGCAGTCACATCAAATAGGTCATCTATTTCTGATTGTGCCATAAAACAACCTTCTCAAATGAACATTCAATTAGCTTTATCTGTCAATCCAGAAACCCCACAGATGAGCCCAACTCACACATCCCAGTCAGATGACAGTAAAGATGATGTTCCATTTGTCCCTGGACGTATGTTTGTGAATGTTGTCCTTCGTCAGCTACTTAAACTCAGTGTTACAACTGTAGTTACTGCTACTAAACTGCCAAAATAGCAGTCCTTTTGTTACTGTTACATGTAATTGACTGTGATTACATGAACGTTGTATTGATTTCTAATCATTTTGTCCCAGGATGTTTACCAGGCCAATTCTGCTATTGATTTGCGATCAACAAGCACCAGAACTCATGCCTAGATTGGTTATCGTGTGTTGATGTATGGCCTTATTGGTTATTGACAATTAGTGATGACAGGTGCTTACTGACGCCATCAATATACCAGGGTTGATTTACCAGGGTTGACATGCAGGAGTTACTTCATAGTGGCATTTTTTGCTGTGGACATTAATACTGTGGACAAGTCAGTAAAATATACAGGAGGCTGTGACCTTTGGAAAATAGTCTGCTTGGAAGCTAAGAATAGGACTTCTTTGAAACTGTGATAAAATGCCTCCAATTTATTTGGCAAAACTGTATCTATGATGAAAGGGATTTTAATGTCCTCTGGTCCAGTCTTTCTATGTAAAGTTAAATACATGTTTGAGTAAAGTTGTTCCCTGTGTAATTATGTTGTTCTTAATAAAAAATAATGTATGTCATACTTGTGATTGTATTTTTATTTCTAATTCTATATGGATGTTTTGTAAGGAATATTGATCTCAGTTGATCAATATACTTACAGAGATCAAACAAAAATGTCTTGAACTCATCCATCTGAATAATTAAAAAATGTGTGGAAAAACATGAAAATTTGGGAAAGAAAGAATATGTACTGAGATAATTTTATGAATTGTTCTGCGAAGGTTCATTATTTGGAATCAGTCATGACTGTCGTCAGTTTTTTGTAGACATTCATAATGACATTTTCCTTCTCACAGTGTCAACATAACCCTGCCTGCTAAAAACAATCAAAAGAAATTAATGAACCTTATTGACACGACCTGTGATCAATCAGATTATTGCTAGGGACACTTTGAAACCAATGCTTGATGTCAAAAATGATTAACTGTTTAAATGGTATTATTTGCCTGTAATACATCATATAGTTGTTGTTTAACTTATGCATGCCAAGGCATAATTCTGTGATGTAGTCCTAACAGCATTTACCTTTCCACATTTCATGATGTGGGTGTTAAGTCAAGCCATGAGTCTATTGCTACAAGGGTTAGTGAGGCATGTTTCACCAGATGAATTGAGACATGTAAGTTGGTGGGAAGTCAAGGCCATATGAAGTGCTAGAAGGGTTAGTGAGGCATGTAAGTTGGTGGGAAGTCAAGGCCATATGAAGTGCTAGAAGGGTTAGTGAGGCATGTAAGTTGGTGGGAAGTCAAGGCCATATGAAGTGCTAGAAGGGTTAGTGAGGCATGTAAGTTGGTGGGAAGTCAAGGCCATATGAAGTGCTAGAAGGGTTATTGAGACATGTAAGTTGGTGGGAAGTCAAGGCCATATGAAGTGCTAGAAGGGTTAGTGAGGCATGTAAGTTGGTGGGAAGTCAAGGCCATATGAAGTGCTAGAAGGGTTAGTGAGAGGCATGTAAGTTGGTGGGAAGTCAAGGCCATATGAAGTGCTAGAAGGGTTAGTGAGGCATGTAAGTTGGTGGGAAGTCAAGGCCATATGAAGTGCTAGAAGGGTTAGTGAGGCATGTAAGTTGGTGGGAAGTCAAGGCCATATGAAGTGCTAGAAGGGTTATTGAGACATGTAAGTTGGTGGGAAGTCAAGGCCATATGAAGTGCTAGAAGGGTTAGTGAGGCATGTAAGTTGGTGGGAAGTCAAGGCCATATGAAGTGCTAGAAGGGTTAGTGAGGCATGTAAGTTGGTGGGAAGTCAAGGCCATATGAAGTGCTAGAAGGGTTAGTGAGGCATGTAAGTTGGTGGGAAGTCAAGGCCATATGAAGTGCTAGAAGGGTTATTGAGACATGTAAGTTGGTGGGAAGTCAAGGCCATATGAAGTGCTAGAAGGGTTAATAGAGACATGTAAGTTGGTGGGAAGTCAAGGCCATATGAAGTGCTAGAAGGGTTAGTGAGGCATGTAAGTTGGTGGGAAGTCAAGGCCATATGAAGTGCTAGAAGGGTTATTGAGACATGTAAGTTGGTGGGAAGTCAAGGCCATATGAAGTGCTAGAAGGGTTAGTGAGAGGCCATGTAAGTTGGTGGGAAGTCAAGGCCATATGAAGTGCTAGAAGGGTTAGTGAGGCATGTAAGTTGGTGGGAAGTCAAGGCCATATGAAGTGCTAGAAGGGTTAGTGAGACATGTAAGTTGGTGGGAAGTCAAGGCCATATGAAGTGCTAGAAGGGTTATTGAGGCATGTAAGTTGGTGGGAAGTCAAGGCCATATGAAGTGCTAGAAGGGTTAATAGAGACATGTAAGTTGGTGGGAAGTCAAGGCCATATGAAGTGCTAGAAGGGTTATTGAGACATGTAAGTTGGTGGGAAGTCAAGGCCATATGAAGTGCTAGAAGGGTTATTGAGACATGTAAGTTGGTGGGAAGTCAAGGCCATATGAAGTGCTAGAAGGGTTAGTGAGACATGTAAGTTGGTGGGAAGTCAAGGCCATATGAAGTGCTAGAAGGGTTAGTGAGACATGTAAGTTGGTTGTGGGAAGTCAAGGCCATATGAAGTGCTAGAAGGGTTATTGAGACATGTAAGTTGGTGGGAAGATGAAGCTAGAAGGGTTATTGAGACATGTAAGTTGGTGGGAAGAATGCTAGAAGGGTTATTGAGACATGTAAGTTGGTGGGAAGTCAAGGCCATATGAAGTGCTAGAAGGGTTATTGAGGCATGTAAGTTGGTGGGAAGTCAAGGCCATATGAAGTGCTAGAAGGGTTATGGGAAGTGAGACATGTAAGTTGGTGGGAAGTCAAGGCCATATGAAGTGCTAGAAGGGTTTGAGACATGTAAGTTGGTGGGAGAGTCAAGGCCATATGAAGTGCTAGAAGGGTGAGACATGGTTGGTGGGAAGTCTAGGCCATATGAAGTGCTAGAAGGGTTAGTGAGGCATGTAAGTTGGTGGGAAGTCAAGGCCACATGAAGTGCTAGAAGGGTTATTGAGGCATGTAAGTTGGTGGGAAGTCAAGGCCATATGAAGTGCTAGAAGGGTTATTGAGACATGTAAGTTGGTGGGAAGTCAAGGCCATATGAAGTGCTAGAAGGGTTACTGAGGCATGCAGTCACTATTTAAGTGTAAAATTTCTTACTAGGTGTAAGGCAAGATGTGAGTGTCGTGCTACCTGGGTTATTCTTATCAGTCCATTCATGGTATTGCACCTGTGTATCTTCAAGAACTCCTCACTACTTACATGCCAACAAGAACTCTGCGTTCATCCTCGTCTAGTCTGCTCTGTGTACCAAGTGGAACCTCAACTCATTTGCATACATTAGTCTTACCAGAACATGGCATCGGTCGAACGGAATTCCCTCCCTGATGAACTTAAGCTGTCTCCAATGCTTGAAAACTTTAAGCGTCACCTCAAAACCTTTCTCTACAAAAAGTTCTACATTAATGGACTTCAATAATGGATTATAGAATGTTAGTGTAATGAGCATACCTGGTGTGGAGTTTGGTGCTATATAAATGGACATATTATATTATTTTGTTATTATTAATGAGGCATATAGTTAGGTGAGGGAAATTGTGATATCAAATATAAAACCTGGTGAAGTGTACATAAAATATTGCCAAACTGAGCCAAATTTTCTTAAACTGAGCTGAAATATTGAAGTGTCATAAAATCAACAAACATTGTGTTACAGATTTACATGGATTGTGGAAATTAATGCAATACATTTGTACTCCATTTCAATACAGGAATCATATGGATATCAATACTTACTGCAATGTTTGATGACTGTTAGCGCTGCAGCGTAAGGGCCCAAGCCACATCATTATTGACAACATCTGCAACTACTTCAAAATGGATTGGATTTCCCCGTTGAATGTGGCACCTATTATATGGTATTATTTTAGTACGTCTGACCTCATCACATGTTCTTATTCTCCTCTTCAGGGGCAAACATGGTATTGGCCAGGTTGACCTGGTGGAAAACAGATTCATTGGCATGAAATCAAGAGGTGAGTTTACTGGTACATGGTTTGGCATGAAGTCACCAGGTGTGTGTAGTAATACAGGAGTAGGCATGAAGTCACCAGGTGTGTATAGTAATAGAGGAGTAGGCATGAAGTCACCAGGTGTGTGTAGTAATACAGGAGTAGGCATGAAGTCACCAGGTGTGTGTAGTAATACAGGAGTAGGCATGAAGTCACCTGGTGTGTGTAGTAATAGAGGAGTAGGCATGAAATCACCAGGTGTGTGTAGTAATACAGGAGTAGGCATGAAGTCACCAGGTGACTTTAGTAACCCAGGGCTAGGCATGAAGTAAACTGGGGTGTGTAGTGCCTCAGGGTGGAAGTCACAATGCAAGATGTGCTGAAGAAGTAGGCACATTGCCAAATATTACTGAAATGAAATATAATGAAATAAAAGCAGAGCCCATTTGTAATCGACTGACATCCTCTGTGTATGTTTGTGGTGTGACAAGAGTGTGTTGTGTGCAGGTATCTACGAGACACCAGGGGGCACCATCCTGTTGGCAGCTCACATGGACATTGAGGTCTTCACTATGGACCGAGTAAGTAACATTGTCAACTCTCAAGTCTTTTCTTCTTGTATTGTCAGAACCTGCATGTAAGCATGTGACCCTAGGTGCACAGCAGACACCTTGGATATTTAACATGAGAACTGAACTTCTGCTAATGTGTCTATGTAACCTGTGAAGATCCGGGTTAGATTGATCTTCAGTAACCCATGCTTGTCGTAAGAGACGACTAACAGGATCAGGTGGTCACAAACGCTGACTTGGTTGACACATGTCATTGTATCCTAATTGCGTAGATCGATACTCATGCTGTTGAACTCTGGATTGTCTGGTCCAGACTCCATTATTTACAGACTGCAGCCATATGGCTGGAATATTGCTGAGTGCAGCATAAAACTAAATTCACTCACTCACTATATTTATGGTTGCATATGATGCTGCAGCTACTTGTGTCTGGGGATGTATACTTACCATGACCTCATGGCTTCTACACTGTGTTCTGTTTGCAGGAGGTACGAAAGCTGAAGCGGGATTTGGATATCAAGTTTTCAGAGCAGGTCTATCGAGGTACGGAGTAGACCTGACATGACAGGAAGACCTGACATGACGTGTAGACCCGAAATGACGTGTAGACCTGACATGACGTGTAGACCTGTAAACCTGACGTGACATGTAGACCTGACGTGACGTGTTGACGCGACGACATGTAGACATGACATGACGTCGACGTGACATGACGTATAGACCTTACATGACATGTAGACCTGAAATGACATGTAGATCCGATATGACATGTAAACCCGACATGACATGTAGACCTGACGTGACATGTATACCTGACATGACATGTATACCAAGTGACTTGTAAACCTGAAATGACATGTACACCTTACATGACATGTAGACCTTACATGACATGTAGATCCGACATGACATGTAGACCCGACATGACATGTAGACCCGACATGACATGTAGACCTGACGTGACTTGTAGACCTGAAATGACATGTAGACCTGACATGACATGTATACCTGACATGACATGTATACTGACATGACCTGCAATCCTGACATGACTTGTAGACCCGACATGACTTGTAGACCCGACATGACATGTAGACCTGACATGACATGTAGACTCGACATGACATCAAAACAAATCAGAAGTCAAACTGAGCTTTTAGAATGCCATTATTCATGCACATTGATCTGCAATATATTTTGTGAAATTGAGAACACGAAGCATGAATGCTGACTTTTGATTGAAAATATGACAGATTTGATGGTTCAGATTTCAACTTTGATTTCAAGAGTTTACATATTCAGATACTAACCACATATCAACACTTATTCGCTGCTTGCATTTTGGCATATAGACCACGAAAATTTATTAATTTGGCACTAAAACAAAGTCTGTAATTCCAGTTTGAGTATGCAGGATGTGACAAAGATTTGTGTTTGTGTTCCTGAAGGCTTCTGGTTCAGTCCTGAATGTGAGTTCACCCGCTTCTGTATCGCCAAGAGTCAGGAGCATGTTGATGGAGCAGTCACTCTAAAGTTGTACAAGGGGGGCGTATACATCCTGGGCCGAACTTCCCCACTCTCACTTTACAATGCGGAACTGGTCAGGTATATTTCACCATTTGTTCTCATATAAAACTTGTATGTCAGCTGATGTGTAGACATTGATGCTGCCATGTCACTGTGGAGAATAATATGAAGATAAACTTCTAATGTCAACCTGAGAAAGTTTTTTCAAAACACAATGTGCCATTGTGTGGACAGGTGATATAAACATGGTGACAATATTATGCACACATGGCCTTAACTTTACATTCTAAAACTGGATTACGTGTTCCTTGCAAATAGCTTGCACTATAATGAAAATAAATATACCTGTTTATATATAACTGTATATAACTGTAGAAATATACATTGTGTGTTTTTAAGTGATGGCCTTGACGTTTGAATCAGTAGGCTTCTGCCATCATATATATATACAGTGAAGCCCCGTTAGTCCGGACTCCGATAATCCGGATGTCTCGCCTCCCGGTCGATTTCAGCTTGTTACCAATCTATGCCTATATAATTTGCCTCGATAATCCGGAAATTCGGTTTCCGGAACCGGACGGTAAGTAGCTGTCACCAATCAGTAAAATAAACAGTAAATTGCTTCACAGTCCGGACGCTGTAAGTCGTGTTCACGAACCGTAACAACACCTCCCGGCGATACTTACGTAATTAACTGGCCAACTGGGTTGTTGTTTTAATTAGACATAAAAAGCTCCCGACTGAAGATACTGTACATTTATGCGTGGATGACAAGTTAGCTGTTTTCTGATTGGTTAATGTACTTTGACAGACAGATCTGGTCACGTGGACTAAAAGTGATTTTGCTTTTACTACGACAATGCTGCAAGTCACAAGTGTCCTTCGCTAACTTTGCTAAATGTGACCAAATACCACGCCTCATATTCAACCGATGGATGCAGGAATAATTCGGACATTCAAGGCATACTACAATAGATCGCTTGTTAGACATTACCTCACCTGTGCTGAGGAAGGACGTGATCAGACACGTCGGATCAACATGCGGATGTCACTTGGTAAAATTATTGATGTGATGAATTAGGCTTTACATTAAATGCTTATTTGTTTTATCCAGATTCGTGTCGTTTTTGTAATTCTTAGGGAAGCAACTTGGGTCTTGATTCAGTAGTCCGGACTATTCGCAATCCGGACGAATTTACTGAGAAACGCAACCGTCCGGATTAACGAGGCTTCACTGTATGTGAATGTAATGAAGCCATCTTATTGCCTTTTTTCCAGCATGAACGTCCAGGGGGATTACGAGCCAACAGATGCAGGGGGCTTCATTAAGATCAATGCTCTCCGGTACGTACACACACAGGCACACACAACATATTCAAGCACACCCTGGTACATACATGTTGTTCTGTTTGTTGACTCCCTTGTACAAGTTCATGTCACAAAGTTGTGTGTTGCCCACCCCATCCCCATCCCCACCCCCCACTCACAGGCTAAAGTCCATGTCATGGTCTGTATGTTGTCCCCCACTCACATGCTAAAGTCCATGTCATTGTCTGTATGTTGTCCCCCACTCACAGGCTAAAGTGCATATCATGGTCTGTATGTTGTCCCCCACTCACAGGCTAAAGTCCATGTCATTGTCTGTATGTTGTCCCCCACTCACAGGCTAAAGTGCATATCATGGTCTGTATGTTGTCCCCCACTCACAGGCTAAAGTCCATGTCATGGTCCGTATGTTGTCCTCCACTCACAGGCTAAAGTTCATGTCATGGTCCGTATGTTGTTCCCCACTCACAGGCTAAAGTCCATGTCATGGTCTGTATGTTGTCCTCCAATCACAGGCTAAAGTCCATGTCATGGTCTGTATGTTGTCCTCCAATCACAGGCTGAAGTGCATGTCATTGTCCGTATGTTGTCCTCCAATCACAGGATAAAGTGCATGTCATTGTCCGTATGTTGTCCCCCACTCACAGGCTAAAGTCCATGTCATTGTCTGTATGTTGTCCCCCACTCACAGGATAAAGTCCATGTCATTGTCCGTATGTTGTCCCCAACTCACAGGCTAAAGTCCATGTCATGGTCTGTATGTTGTCCTCCAATCACAGGCTGAAGTGCATGTCACATGTTGCAATCACAGGATAAAGTGCATGTCATTGTCTGTATGTTGTCCCCCACTCACAGGCTGAAGTGCATGTCATGGTCCGTATGTTGTCCCCCACTCACAGGATAAAGTGCATGTCATTGTCTGTATGTTGTCCTCCAATCACAGGCTGAAGTGCATGTCATTGTCCGTATGTTGTCCTCCAATCACAGGATAAAGTGCATGTCATTGTCCGTATGTTGTCCTCCAATCACAGGATAAAGTGCATGTCATGGTCTGTATGTTGTCCCCCACTCACAGGCTGAAGTGCATGTCATTGTCCGTATGTTGTCCCCCACTCACAGGCTAAAGTCCATGTCATGGTCTGTATGTTGTCCCCCACTCACAGGCTAAAGTCCATGTCATTGTCTGTATGTTGTCCCCCACTCACAGGCTAAAGTCCATGTCATTGTCTGTATGTTGTCCCCCACTCACAGGCTAAAGTCCATGTCATGTCATGTTCACGCACATCTCCATGGTTGCAGGTTACAGGAGTATTGCCGTCTCAGACAGAAGGTGACGGATCAGAAGTAGACAAGAATACGTCCTCGGTCTGCTGAGTTTGTGTTAGTGTAGCTGCTTGGAACATAGCCTTTATTAAGTGACACGTGTTGCCGACCAACAGAAGTCTACACACTGTCCATGATGAAGACACTTGGTCCAATGTAATGGTGATGAGAACTTTTTTTAACTTGAACTTAACATTGTTAGAACCCAGATGAAAACTGAGAATGCTCATGTCGGTTACCATTCCACTGGAAGTGAAATGTTCAGGTTTGGCACGGAACCATGTCATCTGTATTGTACTAGGGACCAGGTTGACTACCTGTGAGCAATGTCGACTGTGTGGCCTGGGTGGGTTGTGGGTCCTCACTGCCCTGGTATCAACTCAAACTCTTGGTTTAATTACTTTTTTGGAATAGGAATAGGAATATATATTTTCAAGTGCTTTTTAACAACCCATTTCATAGAAGTTATTATTTTTATATTGCATGATTGATGACTGGCTATTATTATTGTTGTTATTGTATGGTTATGGTGTTAGAGTCGGATCATGTACTCAAGGATCATCATTCATAATTTCGTCAAAATAGCTTTGCCGGAAATCATGCATCTGCAAAGTTCATGTGAAGAAACACTTCAGCTCCAACACTTAATGTGTTAATGCTGTTGATGATCAAAACACATATTTTTATGACAATCAATGGATTTTGTTTCCTAACATCACCAATATTCGGTGTTATATTTTGTTCCAATAAACAGATATGAAACTCTACCATTGTGTTTTGGCTTGTATGTTATTGACAATGTTGCCTCCCATGTGTCCGAGATACAGAATTCGAAAGATGAAACAACCAACACACCCAGTATGATGCTTCTGGAGAGTGAGTGAATTTATTTTTACGCCATTCTTAGCAATGTTCCAGCAATATCATGGTTAGGGACACCAGAAATGGGTTCACACATTGTGCCATGTGGGGAATAGAAACCAGGTGTTCGGCATGATAAGCGAATGCTTTAACCTCTAGGCTACCCCACCTCCCCCTCTGGAGAGAGTCCGCATCCGTTGTGTAGTAGTTAGAGCGTCCGCCCGGAGAGCGGAAGGTCGCGGGTTGGATCCCCGACCGTGTCATACCAAAAGGCGTTAAAATATGGTACTTGTTGGTTCCTGCCTGGCGCTCGGCATTAATGGGTACAACAAGGACTGGTCGGCTTGGAGTCAGTATAATGTGTCTGAATGGGGTATTCATGCTTCACTGCGTCATGGTATCTCAGTGGGCTAGCACTATAAAACCAGCTTCAGTCTGGGCTAGTACAAGCAGCCGAACCTACACATACACATGCACGTGGTCATATGAGCGAAATATTCTCCAGCGCGACGTTAAACCCAATTTCACCTCACCTCACCTCTGGAGAGAGTGTTTAGTAATATATCTGTACTGAATGTTCACTCCTTAATAATGTCTGTAAACATCTAGAGACACCTAAGTCATACATCAGGATCCTCTTTGTTGACTTTTCATCTGCGTTCAACACCATCCAGCCACATGTCATGATACAGAAACTGTTAGGTAGGCGTTAACGTTTAGGCATTAGGGCGTTAACTCATACCTCATCAAGTGGATCGAAAACTTTCTTGTGGACAGACAGCAGTACGTGAAAGTTAACGGGGCTGTATCGAGTAAACGGACCACCAACACTGGTGCACCACAAGGCTGTGTAATATCTCCTGTTCTTTTCACCCTCTACACTAATGATTGTGCAAGCTCAAATTCAACCTGTTCAACTGTAAAGTTCGCAGATGATGCAGCAACTGTCGGCAAACTGAACGACACTGATTCTGAAGAACTGTATAAAGAGGACATTAACCATTTCACGACTTTGTGTGCAGAAAACCACTTACTCTTAAATGTCACAAAAACAAAGGAACTGATAATTGACTTTCGGAGTAAGCCCACAGAAATGCTTCCAGTGATAATCAACGGTGAATGTGTTGAGACAGTGTCGAGTATAAGTATCTGGGAACCTTCATTGACTCTAAGCTGGACTGGAACTCTAACACTGAAGCCCTATACAAAAAGTGTCAACAACGTCTTGATCTCATGCGTAAACAGAGATCTGTGATGTCATCTTTTTATGCAGCATTTATTCAGAGTGTTTTAACATTTTTCCTTCCATTGTTGGTACGGGTCTCTCTCAGTTCAAATAGACAAAATTGTTACCACTGCAAGTAAAATCGCTGGAGTCAGATTTGAATGTTTCTCATCAATATATGAGCGGCAAATCGTGAATCAAGTTGTCAAAATTATATCTGACAGTACTCACTACTTAAATTCGGAATACAACCTCCTCCCTTCAGGCCGCCGCTACAAAGTTCCAATTGTGAAAACTAAGAGAGCCCGTACATCCTTTATTCCAAGTACCATATCTCTCTTCAACAAATGTGAAGATACCTAAATCAATGAATTTATGTAAATATGTTTTGTATCTCTCTGATGTGTCAGTAGCTCTGCTGATGTAACACAAATTCCTGAAAAGGCATTAAATTATTATTCTATTCTTCTATACTATTTCTGTCTTGTTCACAGAATAAAATGAACATTGACAAAGGAACAAGTAGTCAAAGATGTCTTGAACTAAACCTTTGCTTACGTTTTTTATCAATTGCTTGATTTTAAAATTGTGTTTATGTTTCATTACATATTTTTGTCCAAATCGATAGTTTTTTGTTGCTCACTATTTAAGAAGTGCCCTGTAACACTGGGGCGTGTCTGGCTTTGAAACAGCATTTAGAAAGACATATAGGTAAATAGACCCCACCCTATTACTCTATGAAAGGACCTTTTATACAGTAATAGGGTAGTGTCTATATACCTATATGTCTTTCTAATGCTGTTTCTAAGCGAGACACGCCACTATGTCAAAGCTCACAATGAACAAAGTAATTGGCAGACAGCTTCAAAACAGTGCCGGTTAAGAGAATTATGAAATGACTTTCCTCATTTAATCTTGAAAATACTTCAGTTCAAGACATTCATGATGGAGGTTAACATGCCACAGTCCGTCCATCAAGGGAATGCGTGAGTGAGTGAGATTAGTTTTAAGCGGCACTATGCAATATTCCAGCTATATGGCGGCGGTCTGTAAGTAATCGAGTCTGGACCAGACAATCCAGTGATCAACAACATGAACATCGATTTACGCAATTGCGATACGATGACGGGTGTGAAGCAATTCAGCAAGCCTGACCACCCGATCCGGTTAGTCCCCTCTTACCACAAGCGGGGCGGTGGGGTAGCCTAGTGGTTAAAGCGTTCGCCCTTCATGCTGCAGACCCGGTTCGAGTCCCCACATGGGTACTATATGTGAAGCCCATTTCTGGTATCCCCCGCCGTGATATACTGGAATATTGCTAAAAGCTGCGTAAAATAAACTCACTCACTCACTCTTACGACAAGCATGAGTTATTGAAGATCAATTCTAACCCGGATCTTCACGGGTATCAAAGGTATGCACACGTCCCTTGTTGAAAAGTAAAAAGTACTCACGGAAATAGAATAACATGCTTTTTTGGCGTTTATATCTTAGTTTTGAACACAACTAAAGTTTGTTAAATATTCTATGACTATCCTTTTTCCAGTTTTTGTTTTTAACACTTTTTGTAAAATCATCCGGAATAGATGAGTTTACAGGAGAGCAAATCGTGTCATTTTTACCCCTTGAAATTTCATCAAAGTCAAAATGTATGTTTCTGATGCAAACTATAGTATGCAAATGAGATGTACTCTCCATAGGTTCGCATACATAATATATTTTATGAAAAACGTCATATACCCTTCATCCTTTATCCTAATTGATATACAACATAATAGATTTAGTGTTTTTCTCATAACACTTTTCATGCCTGTGCTCTTGTTGAAAGTTTACTACTTTTACGAGCTAAGTCATAGCTTTGATTGTCAATTGCACAATCGGTATGACAACGCACGTGCAACTGCATCTTCCCGTCTAAACAGTGCTGCAGGTAGTTGTTGCCACCCATTGTTGATTGTGACGTAAGTTATGACATGTTTCTAAATTTGTTGATAATTTGCAATTTTTTGTTATTTTTACCTGTAAAATGGTATTTTGGATGATGGATTAGACGCCCGAGTTAAAAGGTCTATTTGGGAAAACATGGTTATTTTGATATTTGTTAAAACTACCTATTTAAAGAAGTAATAAACAAATAAACGCCAAAAACCATTTTATTTTTATTTCCGTGAGTACTATAGTGAATGAATGCCCGGACCGAGGGATCATATTGCCATGGATGTCGCACACATATGAAGACTCATTAATTCACACGTGAGAAACGTATCTTTACAAGAGATGATGATGATGATGATGATGATGATGACAATGATGGTGATATGACACAAATATTATAACCTCCGCCTATGTCGTGATCTAGCTTATACCACATGTGGAACAACTCGAATGATAAAATATAAAAAGAACATGAGACCCAGATGTGTAAGTAAGTAACTTGTTTTACTTAACTATAAGGTGCTCAATGATACTTAGAAACAGTTATTCAACGATTATTTCATGCAACATTGACTTCGACACGCATGCAGCACGTGCAAAAGCTGACAACTATACAGCAGAAATGTACATGGCAGACGACATTTGGGGACAGGAAACAATGGTTGATGTTGATAGACAGACATATTCGTATGATTTGTAAGTTAAGGTAAGTTGTGTTGCTATTGTAGCGTCTGAATTTCGAATCACACGCGACACACTGCGGGCGCCCAAAAAGGGCGCCCAATGCGACATAGCTGTTCACATTGTAGCGACGCTCCTGTTCGTCGGATCGTGTCCATGTTGTTATGACTGATCTGTGTAAGGAAGTTGGTCACATTTTACATAACCACTTTTGATGTTTACCTCATCACACGTATATTGGCAGCATGTTGAGCTGAAACAAGTTATTTGATGAGTTTCGTTCATTTAAATGACATGACTGTCAATTTGATGCGCGGCTTTTTCCACGCAATAACCGCCTTGAGATTTCATATCAAAGTGATCAGTGCTGGTTGCAGCAACGACGTGTTAACGAAACTAGCTGCTTCAAAGAGGTACGCCATATGTTAGATATGACCAGACTCAGGTAACTGTGCTATCTTATATTATTACACATAATCTGGCAAAAGTGACCTACACCGCACTGCGAAAAATAGACACAAAATTTGCAATGTACGTCATTGTACCTTAACTGTGTCCTGTCTGTGTGGACTGCGCCTCTCCGCCTCAACTTCACCATTGGTTTGCAAATTATTATAGTACACATTATCTACATTACATCTAAATGTACATTCTTGTATACTTCACGCTCTGTCTACATACATATCATACATTGCTGAACATATTCTTATACGGTTAGGGACGGTGGGGTAGCCTAGTGGTTAAAACCTTCGCTCGTCACGCTGAAGACCCGGGTTCGATTCCCCTTATGGGTACAATGTGTGAAGCCCATTTCTGGTGTCCCTCGCTGCGATATTGCTGGAATATTGCTGCACACGCACACTCGCGTATCCTTTCTGCCACTGGAATCGAAAATGTATTAAGAGATTTCTATCCTTAAGGCGTACGGGCCAATGGCCACCGTAAGAATTTGATTGTAAAGAATCAGAAGCAAATAAAAGTATCTGAAGTCAAAGTGTCTGAAGCCATCATACAATCCTCAGAAGCAGCAACAGTAAAGGGGTCTATTCCAATACGCCGTATCATAATAAAACAAAGACGTTGTCATCCATATAATATCATGCCCCGACAGTTATTTACCAACTAAAATATGGTGATTGCAATCTCCAGCATCAACCTGTGCAACTGAGATACGATGACACAACCTCTATCCTTTCTGTTTTACGGTTTCTGGTGGTGGTGACTGTATATTATTATGGGTGATGAAACATATTTTGCAAATATAATGTACAGTTTTAGATAGTGATGAGTGTACTTGGTGTAAATAGTTTTAGCTTGGGGTTAGGGGCCTTCGCTTGAGCGAGAAATTGTTATGTATTTTTTTATAGTGGTACAGCTTGGGGTTGATGAATTCAGCTTTCGTCAGTTAATTGCATGTGGCCAGCCAGCATATAGGGAGAAGCTAGGTGATTCTGATCTAGCTGGGATGTTTCTTGAGGACGGGAATTTTGCCAGTTGTGGTTGTACCCATGATGTGAATCTTCATCTGTGAATTCACAAACTTGCACCCACGTCGGGACTGTGTCAAATATGGAAACTAGGAAATCATGGTGTACAGTTTTGGAAGGATTTACAAATGTGGAAAATGAAGAGGGAATTGTCTTAGATATATTATGGGCAAATTAGATTAGAATGCAGTGATTTAAATGCCCATAAAGTAAGTAGATTTATATCCAATAACCCACCATGTACTTGTTGTGCTGCCTTTGAGGACACCCTTCACTATCTTTTTATATGTCCCAACTATGATGCTATAACGATTAATTTCATTTTAAACATGGATATAACGTGGATAAATGACGCTCTGTATGGTAACCAAGAATTAACTATATAGATCTATAAATCATGATATTATCAAATCAGTCCATAACTTTATTACACTTCAAGAAGATTTAATCAATCGTAAGTTTTCATCTGGCCCTTTGCAGAACTAACAGTATTTTTGCTGTATGGATGTCTATATTCATGTATATTGTATGCTTAATGTTATTTATGATATGCTGTGCTTTTGTAATAATGTTTGAAATGAAAGTCGCATGGATGCTATCGTGTATCTATGATAGTATACCATTAGTGGTATATCACAATCTGCTGCTCTTATAGTATCTCCCATTAGTGATGTGCCACAACTGTGATCTGCTGCTGTTATAGTATCTCCCATTAGTAATGTGTCACAACTGTGATCTACTGCTGTTTTAGAATCTTCCATTAGTGATGTGTCACTACTGTGATCTGCTGCTGTTATAGTATCTCCCATTAGTGATGTGTCACAACTGTGATCTGCTGCTCTTATAGTATCTCCCATTAGTCATGTGCCACAACTGTGATCTGCTGCTGTTATAGTATCTCCCATTAGTGATGTGTCACAGCTGTGATCTGCTGCTGTTATAGTATCTCCCATTAGTCATGTGTCACAACTGTGACTGCTGTGATCCTGCCACAACTGTGCTGCTGTTTATAGTATCTCCCATTAGTGATGTGTCACAACTGTGATCTGCTGCTGTTATAGTATCTCCCATTGGTGATGTGCCACAACTGTGATCTGCTGCTGTTATAGTATCTCCCATTAGTGATGTGCCACAACTGTGATCTGCTGCTGTTATAGTATCTCCAATTGGTGATGTGTCACAGCTGTGATCTGCTGCTGTTATAGTATCTCCCATTAGTGATGTGCCACAACTGTGATCTGCTGCTGTTATAGTATCTCCCATTGGTGATGTGCCACAACTGTGATCTGCTGCTGTTATAGTATCTCCCATTAGTGATGTGCCACAACTGTGATCTGCTGCTGTTATAGTATCTCCCATTAGTGATGTGTCACAGCTGTGATCTGCTGTTGTTATAGTATCTCCCATTAGTGATGTGTCACAACTGTGATCTCCTACTCTTATAGTATCTCCCATTAGTGATGTGTCACAGCTGTGATGTCCTACTGTTATAGTATCTCCCATTAGTGATGTGTCACAACTGTGATCTACTACTCTTATAGTATCTCCCATTAGTGATGTGTCACAGCTGTGATGTCCTGCTGTTATAGTATCTCCCATTAGTGATGTGTCACAACTGTGATCTACTACTCTTATAGTATCTCCCATTAGTGATGTGTCACAGCTGTGATGTCCTACTGTTATAGTATCTCCCATTAGTGATGTGTCACAACTGTGATCTACTGCTGTTTATAGTATCTCCCATTAGTGATGTGTCACAACTGTGATCTGCTGCTGTTATAGTATCTCCCATTAGTGATGTGTCAAGCTGTGATCTGCTACTGTTATAGTATCTCCCATTAGTGATGTGTCACAGCTGTGATCTGCTGCTGTTATAGTATCTCCCATTAGTGATGTGTCACAACTGTGATCTACTACTGTTATAGTATCTCCCATTAGTGATGTGTCACAACTGTGATCTGCTACTGTTATAGTATCTCCCATTAGTGATGTGTCACAACTGTGATCTGCTACTGTTATAGTATCTCCCATTAGTGATGTGTCACAACTGTGATCTACTGCTGTTATAGTATCTCCCATTAGTGATGTGTCACAACTGTGATCTGCTACTGTTATAGTATCTCCCATTAGTGATGTGTCACAACTGTGATCTACTACTGTTATAGTATCTCCCATTAGTGATATGTCACAACTGTGATCTGCTACTGTTATAGTATCTCCCATTAGTGATGTGTCACAACTGTGATCTGCTGCTGTTATAGTATCTCCCATTAGTGATGTGTCACAACTGTGATCTGCTGCTGTTATAGTATCTCCCATTAGTGATGTGTCACAACTGTGATCTGCTGCTGTTATAGTATCTCCCATTAGTGATGTGTCACAACTGTGATCTGCTACTGTTATAGTATCTCCCATTAGTGATGTGTCACAACTGTGATCTGCTGCTGTTATAGTATCTCCCATTAGTGATGTGTCACAACTGTGATCTGCTACTGTTATAGTATCTCCCATTAGTGATGTGTCACAACTGTGATCTGCTACTGTTATAGTATCTCCCATTAGTGATGTGTCACAACTGTGATCTGCTACTGTTATAGTATCTCCCATTAGTGATGTGTCACAACTGTGATCTGCTGCTGTTATAGTATCTCCCATTAGTGATGTGTCACAACTGTGATCTGCTGCTGTTATAGTATCTCCCATTAGTGATGTGTCACAACTGTGATCTGCTGCTGTTATAGTATCTCCCATTAGTGATGTGTCACAACTGTGATCTGCTACTGTTATAGTATCTCCCATTAGTGATGTGTCACAACTGTGATCTGCTGCTGTTATAGTATCTCCCATTAGTGATGTGTCACAACTGTGATCTGCTGCTGTTATAGTATCTCCCATTAGTGATGTGTCACAACTGTGATCTGCTGCTGTTATAGTATCTCCCATTAGTGATGTGTCACAACTGTGATCTCCTACTGTTATAGTATCTCCCATTAGTGATGTGTCACAACTGTGATCTACTACTCTTATAGTATCTCCCATTAGTGATGTGTCACAGCTGTGATCTGCTGCTGTTATAGTATCTCCCATTAGTGATGTGTCACAACTGTGATCTGCTGCTGTTATAGTATCTCCCATTAGTGATGTGTCACAGCTGTGATCTGCTGCTGTTATAGTATCTCCCATTAGTGATGTGTCACAACTGTGATCTGCTACTCTTTATAGTATCTCCCATTAGTGATGTGTCACAGCTGTGATCTGCTACTGTTATAGTATCTCCCATTAGTGATGTGTCACAACTGTGATCTGCTGCTGTTATAGTATCTCCCATTAGTGATGTGTCACAACTGTGATCTGCTGCTGTTATAGTATCTCCCATTAGTGATGTGTCACAGCTGTGATCTGCTGCTGTTATAGTATCTCCCATTAGTGATGTGTCACAGCTGTGATCTGCTGCTGTTATAGTATCTCCCATTAGTGATGTGCCACAACTGTGATCTGCTACTGTTATAGTATCTCCCATTAGTGATGTGTCACAACTGTGATCTGCTACTGTTATAGTATCTCCCATTAGTGATGTGTCACAACTGTGATCTGCTACTGTTATAGTATCTCCCATTAGTGATGTGTCACAACTGTGATCTGCTACTGTTATAGTATCTCCCATTAGTGATGTGTCACAACTGTGATCTGCTACTGTTATAGTATCTCCCATTAGTGATGTGTCACAACTGTGATCTGCTACTGTTATAGTATCTCCCATTAGTGATGTGTCACAACTGTGATCTGCTGCTGTTATAGTATCTCCCATTAGTGATGTGTCACAACTGTGATCTGCTGCTGTTATAGTATCTCCCATTAGTGATGTGTCACAACTGTGATCTGCTGCTGTTATAGTATCTCCCATTAGTGATGTGTCACAACTGTGATCTGCTGCTGTTATAGTATCTCCCATTAGTGATGTGTCACAACTGTGATCTGCTGCTGTTATAGTATCTCCCATTAGTGATGTGTCACAACTGTGATCTGCTGCTGTTATAGTATCTCCCATTAGTGATGTGTCAGAACTGTGATCTGCTACTGTTATAGTATCTCCCATTAGTGATGTGTCACAGCTGTGATCTGTGACTGTTATAGTATCTCCCATTAGTGATGTGTCACAACTGTGATCTGCTACTGTTATAGTATCTCCCATTAGTGAATATGTCACAACTGTGATCTGCTGCTGTTATAGTATCTCCCATTAGTGATGTGTCACAACTGTGATCTGCTGCTGTTATAGTATCTCCCATTAGTGATGTGTCACAACTGTGATCTGCTGCTGTTATAGTATCTCCCATTAGTGATGTGTCACAACTGTGATCTGCTGCTGTTATAGTATCTCCCATTAGTGATGTGTCACAGCTGTGATCTGCTGCTGTTATAGTATCTCCCATTAGTGATGTGTCACAACTGTGATCTGCTGCTGTTATAGTATCTCCCATTGGTGATGTGCCACAACTGTGATCTGCTGCTGTTATAGTATCTCCCATTAGTGATGTGTCACAACTGTGATCTGCTGCTGTTATAGTATCTCCCATTAGTGATGTGTCACAGCTGTGATCTGCTGCTGTTATAGTATCTCCCATTAGTGATGTGCCACAACTGTGATCTGCTGCTGTTATAGTATCTCCCATTAGTGATGTGTCACACAACTGTGATCTGCTGCTGTTATAGTATCTCCCATTAGTGATGTGTCACAACTGTGATCTGCTGCTGTTATAGTATCTCCCATTAGTGATGTGTCACAGCTGTGATCTGCTGCTG